GAAAGCAAGAAATTACCAGGTTACTTTGCTGTTTGCAAAGTAGGAGCAGAATCTATAAGAAAATGCAAAGGTAGATTAGCCTGAGTACAAGTTATTTACATCTCTTTCTTCTTTTTTTTGGTACTGGGGATCAAACTCAGGACCTTGTGCTTGCGAGGCAGGCAGCAGAACTGCTGAGCTAAATCCTCAGCCCTTGTTATTTACATCTCATTCACTGGTGCCCACACCTGAGACTCCCTCTGTCAATTTGCACCATTTACAAATATTTTTTCTTTCTTTTTTTGTTTGGGGTAGAGGGGTTGTAGGGCAATATGTTTATTTTAGAATATATTTCTCATTTCACAGTCTACTAAGAACATGAATTAATTATGCAGAAATGCACTTTACATTTCAGGGACAGTAAATTTTATTATATTGGATATTCATTATCAATTCTGATGAAACCACTTGGACAACAGCCACTGAAAGTAATAACACACATTTCTTCTGCATTTATTTTTTCTTTTTAAATGGTTTTTATTTGAACATGTTTGTAGTGCTTAATGATCACATTCCTGTGTGAAGTTGGTATGTGTACATAGCACACCTCAATTCCTCTTTCATTCTCATCACCTCTCCTCCAACCCCCTGACTCAATTTTTTGGTCCCCTTCTCTTTTGCAAAAGATCTATCTCCCTACTTCCCATCATATATTTTGACTTTCATCTTTATTTGTATTTTGGATTTCTCATATAAAAGAAACTATATGATATTTAAGCTTGTGTGTCTGACTTATTTTACTTAACACTATGGTCTCAAGGTGCATCCATTTTCCTACAAATGATAAATTAACCCTCTTTCGTGGCAGAATAGTACTCCATTGTGCCTAAATACCACGTTTTCTTTATCCATTCAGCTGCTAATGGATATCTAGGCCACTTAAAAGATTTAGTTATGTATTCTGCTTCTATAAGGATGGATATGCATTACACATTGTGATATGATGGCTTTAACTCTTTGTGGAAGGTACTTTGCAGGGGAATAGTTAGGTTAAATGGAATTTCTAGTTTTAGTTTTTTGAGGAATCTCCATACTGATTCCCATAGTATTTGTACTAGTTTACATTCCTACCAACAGTATAAAAGGGTTCCTTTTTTTTCCTGCAGCTTCACTAGCATTTGCTATTGTTTGATTTCTCAATGATAGCCATTCTTCCTGGGAATAACATGGAATTTCAATGCTGTTTTAATTTGCATTTCTCTAATGGCCAGAGATGCTGCATATTATTGCATGCATTTATTGGCCATTTGTATTTCTTCTAAGAAATGTCTATTCATTTCAGTTTCCCATTGTTTTGATTGAGTGTTTTATTTTGGGGGATCTAATTTTGTGTTTGTATATATTTATATATTAGGCCTCTCTCTAAGGAATAGCTAGCAACACCCCCCCCCATTCCTTATATAATCTATTCACATTTTGTTTTAGTTTAGTATATGGTGAGTTATATGGGCCTAGATTCAATCTTCTGCATGTGGATAGCCAATTTTTCTAGCACCATTTATGAAAGAGGCTTTCTTCCCAGTAAGTTTTTGACACTTTTGTCAAAGATCAAATTGCTGAATGTACCTGGGGTTGTTTTTGCATTCTCTGTTCTGTCCCACTGATCCATATGTCTGTTTTTGTGCAGTATCATGCTGTTTTTTATTATTATAGCTTTGTAATATAACTTGAAATCTGGGATTTGATGCCTTCTGCTTTGCTCTTTTTACTCAGGATTGCTTTTGCTAGTTTTGGTCTCTTCTCATTCCATATAAATTTTAGGGATGTATTCACCAGTTCTGTGCAGAATGCTGTTGGTGTTTTGGTTGGAATTGAGTTCAGTACATATATCAGTTTTGGTAGTATGGCCATTTTGAAGATATTGTTTCTGCCTGTCTAGGAACAAGGGATATCTTTTCAATTTCTGATGTCTTTTTCAATCTCATTTTTCAGAGTTCTGTAGTTTTTGTTGTAGAGGTATTTAATGTCCTCGAGTAGGTTAATTCCTAATTATTTTATTTTTATTGATGCTATTGTGAATGGAATTGTTTTCCTAATTACTTTCTCATTGAGTTCATTATTAATGAACAAGAAAGCTATTGATTTTTGTGTTGATTTGTATCCTGGATTTGGTTATTAGTTCTAGGAGTCTTTTGGTGGATGTTTTTAGATCTTCTAATGTCTATGAATAATTAAAGTTTGAATTCTTCCTTTCCTATATATACCCTTTTTATTTATCTTGCTTGATTCCTCTTGCTAATGTTTTGACTACTACATTGAATAAGAGTGGTGATAGTGGACATCCTTGTCTTTTTCTTTTTTTATTTTCCAGAGGGAGAGCTTTCAGTTTTTCCCTATTCATTATGATGTTGGAAGTAGGCTTGTCATACATGGCTTGTATAAAATTGAGATAAGGTACTTCTATATCTATTTTCTTTAAGGTTTTTTTTTTTTATCATGAATGGATATTGGACTTTGTCAAAGACGTTTTCTGTGTGAATTGAGATGATCATGTTATTTTTGTTATTTCTTCTACTTATGTGATGTATTACATTTATTGATTTGCATATGTTGAACCTTCTTTGTAGCCCTGGGATGAACCCTACTTGGTGATTATGCATAATCTTTTTGATGATTTGTTGCATTCTGTTTGTTGAAAATTTTTCCATCTGTGTTCGCTAAAGAGATTGGCTTGTGGTTCTCTTTTTTTGTTGGACCCTTCTCTAGGTTTGGAATGAGGGTAATAGAGGCTTTCAGTAATATTTTTGGAAATACTCCTCTTTCAATTTCTTTAAATGGTTTCAGGACCATTGGCATTAGATCTTCCCCAAAGTTCTTATAGAATTTACTGTGACTCCATTAGGACTTGGGCTTTTTCAGTTAGTAAGTTTTCTTATTACTGCCTGTTATTGGATTATTCAAGGTTTTTATATCTTCTTGATTCAGATTTAGTAATTCATATGCATTTAGGAACCTGTCTATTGCTTCTGAATTTTCCAATTTATTGGAGTATAGGTTTTCTATATTGTTACTTACAATCTTCTGGATTATGGGAGTGCCTGTTGTGACTTCACTGTTTTAATTTCTAATTGCATTGGTTTGGGTCTTTTCTTTCCTTTTTCTTGTAAGATTGACTAAGGGTTTGTCTATTTTCTTTATTCTTTCAGAGAACTAGATCTTTGTTTTGTTGATTCTGTGTAATACTTTAGTGTCAATTTCATTAATTTCTTCTCTGATCTTTATAATGTCCTTCCTTGTATTGGGTTGGTTTTGGATTGTTCTTACTTTTCTGTTATCTTGAAATGCATCAATAGGTTATATATTTGGGCTAACTCTGCTTTCATAATGTGAGCATTCACAGTAATAAAATTCTCTGTTAAGATTGCTTATAGCATATCCTATAAGATCTTAATCAATCAACCCCTTCCCATAATGGTGTCTGATTAAGCCTTATCTGGCAATGTAGCTGGCACTGCACTGGGTTTGTTTTCTAGTTCTAGCCTGTCCAGAAGGATTTTTCTAGTTTACAATATCTATGGGCTTTTGGGGGGGATAGAACTGCTGGCCTGATCTGTAATTTCTTCCTGGCTCTGCTGACCCTAGGGTTTACCTGCTATCCTTGGGTGTTGGCCTCATCCATGTTCAGGTTTGGTTCATTGCTTATAAACTGTGCTGCCCTGTTCTGAGAAGAAACAAAATGCAGAGCCAGCTTGGAGTTGATGGGTGGCCATGGCCAGGGGATGGAATCCATGGGTGCAGAGTTGGTCAGGGGCAAATGCATAGGTCTGTCCAGTACATGGTGGCATTGGTCCCTCCCATCCACAAGGCTTGCAATTATTTTCTAAGTGAAAGTTTTGTCTCCTATGTTCTCCTGATTCTTTTGTCTTTGAAATTTATGCATATTACAGGGTTTCTTTTTATAATTTCTCCCTCAATGCAACAGCACCTTGCAATAATGACATAGTTTCCTGCTTTCCCATTTATAGGTTGTCCAGAATTATGCTTATTTCTTTTTATTAAGTAGTTTTATTTAGATTGCTAATATAGCAGTTTCTAATTTATTTTATTCTTTATTTTTCTGCAAATTGTCTCACAAAATAGCTGCTTTTAAGATTTAAGTAAGTCTGGCCTTGCTGCCTGTCATCTTTGACCTAACATAAGTTAGTATTCTAGGCAAGAAAGCCAAGACAAAGGTGATTAGGGCTGCAGAACAGCATTGACCTGTCCTTGAATCCAGTCAGTACATTGGAGAAGGCTAAGCACAGCAATGATGGAATTCAGCAGAGCCTTTTCTGTCTGTGCACAATACTGCTTCTTCTTCTGGGTCAACCAATGTGGAAAGGATCTAAGTATGGCTGTTAGGAATCACTCTTGCTGGGTCTCTGATATCTTAGATCTCCCACAGTGGTGGGATGGGGAATCTAGTCATCTTCCCTAGAACCCCATACCCCAGATGTAGTGATTTCCCCATACAACATGCTTATTCCGTCAAAGCAGCAAAATTTACTTTTTGTATGATTCTGTGCTGTAGACAGTGTACATCCCTGTGTGTGGCTATAAACTAAAAGCAGGCTGCAGAGTACTTCTGCAAACTTCTAGAGTGCAGGGAAAAGAGGTCTTTTTGAGGGGAGGTACTAAAGATTAAACCCAGAGTGATTGAATTGAAGTACATCCTTAGTTTTTGTTTTTCTTTTTTTTTAATTTGGAACATGGTTTTTGCTACATCACTAATTTGCCAGGCTGGGCTCAAACTTGAGATCCTCCTGCCTCAGCATCTGAGAGTTCAGGGATTAAAGGCATGTGCCACTATATGCTACTGAAAAGAAATCTTCAAATGAGTGCCATGAGATGGTAAGAAAGACATGTGTATTCCTTAAAATTCTGACAAGCCTCCAATTTGGTGATGATTCAAAAATAAAGTGCTGGTATTCTTCTACTTAGGCAAAATGGTATCTAACTGGACTTTGGTTTCTCTTCCCAAGGAGACATTCATCTGCTGAACACTTTGCTTTCCAAGTGATGGGTGCAGTTACTGTTCCTCCTGTTGCCTCCTGCAGAGGCACAGTCTTCTATCAAAGTCCCTATTTCCTGGACAGGTACCCTTAATATTATATTTTATCAGTGTATGGTCTATGGATAAGAAGGGATGCCTAGAGGTCAAAACATAAAATGGTCTCAGGGCAAGGCCAGGAGACAGACAACCCTGTGTCCTCAAGTGGAGCAGGTGATGTAATAAATTAAGGAAGTTGTGCCCTCCTCCCAATTAGCAATGAAACATACAGCAAGGAGCCACTGTTTTAGAAGAGCATCACCTCCCTCATTCTGGAGTTGTGTTGAGGCATGGAGGTAGCAAAAGATGTGGGGAGTAGGGTCAGTAAAGACAGAAGGAGAGATGCTGTAAAAGGGAAGGAATTCATGCTTTTTCTCCATTTTTTAATCCTTTTTTTCTGGCTATCTAAATCCTTTGAAAAATTTTCTTACACTGATATTTATTACATTTATAACTAATTCACTTGATTGGGAGGAGACCTAAAATCCCAGCACCTACATCAGTTTATCCTATTCAAAATAAACACTCTCGGGTAAGTACAGGGCTAGGCTTTTATATCTCTCTTCCAACCATGACAGAAAGATTTTAGCTCTACTGAGAAAGACCGACAGGCAGTATTTTCAGCTCTCCATGTTTTCCAGTACATAGTGATCCTGGTGGGATTTTCAAGTCCATATGATAAAGGGTTATTCAACAGAAAGATCTTCAATCTGGAGAAGATGATTTTTCTAACTCCAAAAGAGGAGAGAATTGAGGAAGGAAACTTGTTATAATTCTGTACCTCTGACTCAAATATTGTGTGGCCACAAGATGTTCAACTGATCCCCTTAATTAAGAAACTGCCAGATTCATCTCATTCTTATTACCAGAATTGTGGAAAACATTAAAAAATCAATATCTCTTGTTGCCTGAGAAAATGTCTCCAAATGATAGAAGAGAAAAACAGTTTTATCATTGAATAAGCAGTAAGACAAAATGTAACACTCATCACAGGTAATTCACTAGAGAGTTTGCAAAGACAGAAAGAAATCTCACTCATCCTTTCCTATAACCAAGCAGATACAACAAGTACAACCCATTGCATACATGACCTCAAGATAACTATTTGTCAAGTAACAGGGCTTGGCAATGTCATTTGTCTCACATAATTCATCCTAAATTCATTAGGTAAAGGGGATTACCAGCTGTGTAAATCAACTGCCTTCCTCCAAAGGAAAGCTTCTCCCATCTTTATGATAGGAGGTAGTTGGTAAGAGAGGTGCCTGCAGAATTTAGGTTCTTTCGCTCCCACAGAAACTGGGACATAAGGTGTTATTTCACTTGACGATTGCATTTCAAAGAGATGGCTTTCAGGAGTTACCTAGATTGAAAAGCTGGGGAAAGGTTTATTTAGCCTTTAAAAGGTTTGCACATAAATGTTTGGTTCCACCAAAATTCAGAAATTCAAGTCAAACCCTCAAGGTGATGATATCAGGAGGTGGGAAATTTGGAAAGTAATTAAGTCACAAGGGTGGACCTCTCATGAGATTAATGCCCTACAAAACTCTTTGGCCTCTTTCTGCTATGTTAAGACACAAAGAAAAAAGAGGAGTTTACCACCCAGAAGAGGGCTCTGCCCAGAACATAAACATGTGGGTACTCTGATCTTTAGCACTTGGAAAAATAAGTTTCTGTTGTTTATAAGCCCACGCAATCCATGGTACTTTGTTATAGCAGCCCAAACTGAGTAAGATACATTTCAAACAAGTAGAGAAATAACTTACAGTTAAAAAATTTTAAAGTAATTTCTCTATGAAACCAGAGGAATAGGAAGAAGTCTTTTATTTTTACCAGGAGAAATATGAGTCTTATTTTGCATTTGTGTCTACACTTTCATGTGCAACAGACTCAAAACAAGCTGTTTGAGCTAAGAGGGATACAATTTAATCTTAAGATCTTTTTTGAAATCTTTGAGGAAACTACAGTAATATTCAGGAGGCAATGAGCCTCTGTTGGCTTAGTTACCAATATCTAACTTATTGACAAAAGAAAAAAATGCTATCTTCTAAGGGTCAAGATTATGAAGTGAATAAATGAAAAGTTGAAAGAAAACAATTCCTAACTTAGCTGGAAGGAAGAGTTTGGGTGATATTTGAAGAAAATGGGAGGTCACAGAGGAGGCAGTGGACATTACCAGTGCTTCTATCTGCACTGATCTAATTCCTCCTATTGAAAAACCATGGAAAATGTGTTGCCCTTATCCTAGCCTGGAGGAACTAAAGTCCAACTATAAGGATTATGATTTAGAACCTAAATTCTTAAACTAAGAGCTAAAAGTATCCTCTCCATCAACTCCATGGTTTGAAAAGTGCTTGGCAACCCCATTTCTCGGCAGGGCATCCTAGCTTTTTGTAGTGACTGAGTACAATAACTTGGTACCTGTAGAAAAAACCTCTTAGAGTTAGTACATATTGGTGTTTAACATGCAGCTTCACTTAACAAGAGATGGGGTGATGTTTGAAGGTGAAATAGGAAGGATTTAGACTTGTCACATTGAAGGGCACCAGGCCCAGAAATTAGAAATGGAAAATATGACTAGGGAGATTAGTAGGTGATGAAGTCACTTTTAACAGACACTTAATTAAGGTGGCTATGATATGTGAACAAGGAATTTTACCTTTGCCTTTCCATGGGGAGATAAACTTCATTAGCTCTTTGCCTTGTTTCAAGGGTCAGTCATGGAGTTTTCTGTGCTTTTCTCTGGTGTAAACACTAAGAATTACAAGGCAGGAAGTCAGGTAGAAATTTGGGGAAAAGTTAAAAGGATCAAGGAGATGCTAGCTTAAGGAAATTGAAATAAGGCAGATTCTTTGGTCAGATGCCTGAATCATTGTTCTGATAAAGAAAATGGTTGAGGAAGGAAATTTTTATCCCACCAATTCCTTCTTTAATGTCCTATCTGGTCAATAAGCCAGGCAGATGTTTTCCGAAATGGATCAAGGCAGTCTTCTGATTCTTCACAGTCTCTAATATGATAGAGACTACACAGAAGTGCAGCACTGGGGGGAGGGCAGTGCTGTGATTTCTATCGACATTTTCTTCTGATTTGTTCTTCACTTCTCCATTTTGAGAGCAGCCATAAACCAGGATAGGCACTTTCTAAGAAACTCCTCACTTGGGTGTGTCTTTCAGTGGAGATATAAGAGAAAGTAAAAAGAAGATGCATAAATCAGAAGAAATACATTACTTACAAGTCAGAGGGGCCTGCAAGAGGCCTTCAAGGAGTCTGAAAATAAGTGGCAGATTGGTCACTCAGCAAGCAGGAGCATGATGCGGGAATGAGGGAGAAGACTTGCCTTCTTTTCTCACCAATATTGGAGGTTTATCAGGAAATATTTGCAAGTAGCATGTGGATTAGTATTCATGAAGTTTCTGTCTCAAAAGCTTCCCAAGGCTTCTTTTCCTTAAAGCCTAGTTAAAAGATAATTTCTGGCTTGGTTCTTGGATATTTGCAGAAACATTGTATGGTGGACCCTCAAATTATGACTAGCCTCACTTACAATCAACTTGGTTTATGACTAGAATTTTAGTTTTAACTTATGACCAAAGTCTTGAGTTATAACCTGAATGCCAGCCACTCATGCAGTTGTGAACAAAGACTCATTATGCCAGAAAAGTGTATATAGGCATATGTAAGCATCAGTCCAAGCCCAGATGTGCGTGTTTGTGGACATGATTTTGGTCTGCTTTATATAACCACTGTTGGGAGCCATTCTACATAATTTTGGGGAAAAATCATTTCACAATTAAATTAATTAGGGCTGTCTGAGGCCTCAATGGTCTCCTGGTGTTTTGATGCTTAAGGGCAAGATTACATCAGCTGAAGACATCCTGGTTCTTTAAGAACCAAGTAGTAATACAAAAAGAGAAAGGTTTCACCTGGGAAGGGGAAAATTCCTTATTAGCTTAATTCTTCCCACCTACTGTTGTAAGAACATTTTGCTCATCTCATCATCCTAACATAAGCTCCTCATCAACCTAAGTTCCTCATCCGCATAAAGTCCTCATCATTATAGGATTATGGCCATGCTCTGAGTCATCTAATACTCTCTCTGATTATAAGATCCTCATCAATTTAGGATTATTGCTGCCCTCTGAGTCATGTGATACTCCCTATGAACCTAATCAATAGTGGCAAGATCACAATGTCTTTGTCTTTGCCCGCTCGGAGGCACTGACCTCCTGGCCCCCATATACTTTGAAACTATGAAAGTCTCTATTGCCTTTTTTTCTTTAGCACTCACCATCCCCCTTTCTAGGCAAACAGAGAAATGACTGACCTCCAATAAATCACTATGATTGCTGCTATCAAAATGGCCCCCTAAAAGCTAGAAAAGAAGCTAAGGAAGGAAAGGAAGGTAAAAAACAAAGCAATCACAATTGAAAAGAAGAAGAAAATTGTGGAGAAATATGAGAGTGACATTCAGGTGACTGATCTAGCTAATACATACAGCATGTTAAAATCCACCATCTCCACAATCTTACAAAGAAAAGATTTGTATAAGGAAGCTATTTTTCTAAAGGTGTTTCTCAGATTAGTAAGTCATGATCCACAGTGTTAGATGAGGTAGAAAGGCTATTATCAGTGTTGATAATCAAAAGCCAGATGGCAGGTTATAATTTGTGAAAAAGCTAGGGCCATAAATGCAGAGCTCTTAAAGGATAATCCATTAATGAATGATGAAACATTTCATGCCATTAAGGGGTGCTCTCATAATTTTAAAGCAAGAACTGGGATTATTACTGTAACTAGGCATGGTGAAGCAGCCAGTGCTGATAAAAGAGCTGCTAAAAATTGCATACACCACTTTGAAGTGATGACACAGAGAAATGGCTTTTGCTCTCATAAAGTTTTCAACTGTGATGAAACTGGCCTTTTCTGGAAGAAAATGCCCTGGAGAACCTAACTTACCCAGGAAGAGAAGAAAATCCCAGACCACAAGCCTATGAAGGATAGGCTAACCTTATTGCTATACGTCAATCCAAGTGGTGATGTCAAGATAAAGC